GCCCAGCAGGTCGATGCTGGGGTGGCCGTGAGTGTGCCACTGCAATCCAGCCTGGGCGACAGGGTGAGACTCCAACTCAAAAAAAAAAACCTGCCAAAAAATCTGATGCAAATTACTAAAGTGCTCAATTTCTGAACCTAGTAGACTTAATCATCGGGTTTTCTCAGTTTCCTGTGCTAAGTAACTCCTAATAATTTACAGATTGCTATGCAGATTTCACTAATGAGCCATATTCTGACCTAGATGCTATCAGTAATATACTAAATTTTTTTTTCCCCGAGTCGGAATCTTACTCTGTCGCCCAGGCTGGAGTGCAGTGGCATGCTCACAGGCCACCATAACCTCAATCTGCTGGGCTCAGGCGATCCTTCCACCTCAGCTTCCAAGTAGCTGGAACTACAGGCATGTGCCACCATGCCCGGCTAATTTTTTGATTTATTGTAGAGATGAAGTCTTGCCAAGTTTCCCAGGCTAGTCTCGAACCCGTGAGCTCAGGCAATCCTCTCACCTCGGCCTCCCAAAGTGCTGGGATTATAGATGTGCGCTACCGTGCCCACCTGTACTAAATTTTAATAAGACTTTTTCTACATTTTGAAAAGTAGTGAAATAGTAACAGTGATGATTGTAAGACATAAAGTGTTACTGTTTGGTGAAAAGCTTCCCAATATTGCAGCATGATGTGGTACCTATGAAAGGTTAAGTTTTGAAATCTCTTAGTCCTTGGCAGAGCTGGCAGTACCTGGCGTTTCCAGAGGGCCAACAGTTTGTGGGGGGAGGGGACAGTGACCTGATGCTATCTCTTCTGTTTACCTCAGCATCATTTTCTGTGTGCAACAACCTGAAAATTGGCGTAGTTAGGTTTTGCATGATTACATCCTAAGGTGTGATTTATATTCTTCCACTTGTGAAATATGTTTTGATTATTATGTCAATATTTGAAAATGTGAGTGCTCCTTTGGTAAACTTTCAGCTCTTCTGCGCCGTGCTTCTACATATAAACATCAAAACAAGCTCCAGGAAGCTATCGGAGATTTGAGTAAAGTGCTGAATATTGAGCCTGACAATGATTTGGCCAAGGTAAGCACCAAAAGTGATTTCTCACCTAATTCTATAGTTGACTTTTTTTGTACTCATGTTAAAATGATATCAGTCTTGCAATCAATTCAGCAATCAATCTTGCTGTTTAAATTATGTTGAGGATTATTGGGTCACAGCTTTAAAAAGTAGCTATGTCCCAGATACCCCCCAATTTCTGTGTGTGTGTGTGTGTGTTGGAGTCTCACTCTGTCGCCCAGACTGGAGTACCATGGCACGCTCACAGCCACCCCAACGTTGACCTGCTGGGCTCCAGTGATTCTTCCACCTTGGCCTTCCAAGTAGCCAGAACTACAAGCACGCGCTACCATGCCTGGCTAATTTTTTATTTTATTGTAGAGATGAGGTCTCGCCAAGTTGCCCGGGCTGGTCTTGAACCTGTGGGCTCAGGCAATCCTCTCACCTCAGCCTTCCAAAGTGCTGGGATTACAGGCTGAGCCACCGAGCCTGGCTACCCCAAAATGTTAACATCTACTTAAAGTGGAAGAAGCAGGCTTTAAAACTTTTTTCCAAAACTATAAATCTACCTCTGAAGGACAAAGTTTTTTGGTTTTGCTTTTTTGGTGTTTTTTTGAGTTGGTCTCACTCTGTTATCCAGGCTGGAGTGCGGTGATCATGGCTCACAACAGCTTCCACTCTTGGGCTCAAATGGTCCTCCCACCTCAGATTCCCATGTACTGGAACTACAGGTGCATGCCACCATGTCTGACTAACTTCAATTTTTTTATAGAGAGGTAGTCTCAGTATGATATGGGAACCTACTGTTGTATATCCACATTGCCACACCCTTAAAGAAAGACATAACAAGTGTTCAAGCGGGCCTGCATGTACCTACATTCCTGAGAATTAGCAAAAAAAAAAAAGCGAATTCCCTTATCTCCTGTACATTCCCAGTTAAGTCACTTCAAAGCACCCTTAACCCCCTGCAGACTGCACTAGCTCAAGTAAGAGAAATGAATCCCTATCCACTCCCTTTTATCAGTGGTCATAGATTTTAAAATATAGTACCCATGTGACCATAAGGCTTGTAATTTATATAACTTTTTGCATGTTATAATTACTAATCAACAATGTCATAGTGAATAAGTTTTACTTTGTTTTTTTTTTTGTTGTTTTTTTTTTTTTGAGTTGGAGTCTCACTCTGTCGCTCAGAGTGGAGTGCGGTGGAGTGCTTCTGGCCACCGCAGTCTCGACCTGCTGGGCTCTGGTGATCCTTCTGCCTCAGGCTTCCAAGTAGCTGGAACTACAGGCACACACTACCATGCCCAGCTAATTTTTTTTATTTATTGTAGAGATGAGGTCTCACCAAGTTGCCTAGGCGGGTCTCGAACCTGCGGGTTCAGGCAGTCCACTCACCTCAGCCTCCCAAAGGCACGGGATTACAGGCTGAGCCACTGAGTCCGGCAATGTTTTACTTTGTAATAGGTTCTGTTAACTTCCTTACTCTATGGCAAGCTTCTCTAACTCTTCTGTTTGGTGTTACTGATAACACTGTAAGTTACCTTTTGGTAGCTGGCACTGGAAAATGAGGACCATAAATGTTACTATTAATAAAATATGGCTATAATTTGAGTTCTATACAATGCTCTGTCAGTCACGTAGTCAATGTATAAGTACTAGCAACCCTAAACTAAAAACGGACTGTGAAACCTAAGTGGCGAGCAGATTGTCATTCAGAAATGCCAGGAGAGGCTGGGCCCGGTGGCTCAAGCTGGTAATCCCAATACTGGGAGGCTGAGGCGAGAGATTGCCTGAGAACAGGAGTTTGAGACCAGCCTGAGCAACATGGTTAGGCCTCATCTCTACAATAAAAATAAAAAAATAATCCAGGCATGGTGGCTCATGCCTGTAGTTCCAGCTACTTGGAAGGTGAGGAGGAAGGATCGCCTGAGCCCAGCAAGTTGAGGCTGCAGTGGCTGTGAGTGTGCCACTGCACTCCAGCCTGAGTGACAGAGTGATACTCCAACTCAAAAAAAAAAAGGAAATGCCAGGAGCCAGGTTCTGTTCCCCGGATTCAAATTCAGAAATAAACTTATTTGTGTCAGTCTCCTCCCTCTCAACTTATTGACTTCTAGAGCTAACAGTCGAGCATTTACTCAGACCATAACAGACATGCTGCCCAGGTTGATCTCGAGTTTCTAGGCTCAAGCAGTCCTCTTATTTCAACCTCCCAGAGTGCTGGAATTACAGGCATGAGCCACCACACTAGCCAAAGGACACATTTTTTTCTCTTTTTTTGAATAGGAGTCTCACTCTGTTGCCCAGGCTGGAGTGGAGTGGCACGCTCACATTCACAGCAGCCTCGACCAGCTGGGCTCAGGCGATCCTTCTGCCTCAGTCTTACAAGTAGCTGGAACTTCAGGTGTACTCCACCACGTCCTGCTAATTTTTTTTGGTCTATTGTAGAGAGGAGGTTTCATCATGTTGCCCTAGCTGGTCTCAAGCCTGTGGGCTCAGGTAATCCTCTCGCCTCCACCTCCCAGAGGTTTGAGCCACCACACCCGGCTAAAGGACACTTTTTAAATTTTTTTATTTCCTATAGTGTGTGGACAATACTTTTCTCTGAGCTTATCTCAATTTATTACAAGAAGTGTTTTCGAAGTTTCCTAGGTAGGATTAGGGGTAAGCTCCATGGTCATAAAAGTGTTTTTTTTCTTTTCCTTTTTTTCTTTTTTTTGAGTTGGCGTCTCACTCTGTCGCCCAGGCTAGAGTGCAGTGGCTCGCTCATAGCCATCCCGGCCAGCATCGACCTGCTGGGCTCTGGTGATCCTTCACCTCAGCCTTACAAATAGCCGGAACTACAGGCACGTGCCACCATGGCCGGCTCATTTTTTGATTTATTGTAGAGAAGAGGTCTTACCATGCTGCCCAGGCTGGTCTCAAACCCCTGGGCTCAGGCAATCTTCTCACCTCGGCTTCCCAAAGTGCTGGGATTACAGGTTTGAGCCACCATACCCGGCCAAAAGTGTTTCTTGATGCCAGGTCATCGGGTGTAGTTCAAAACCTGTGGATTCTTTGGCTCATTTCTATAATGAATTTCAGAGTGGCCAGCATAGTTTTCAAACAAAGTTTATTAGAGAAAGAAGGGAGAAAAGAAAGAAACCTGCCAGAGCTGATATGGGCAAAAGAAATCACACCTTTATTCTTTTTTTTTTTTTTTTTAATTAATCAGTATTTTTATTATAGTTTTGTGGGGTACAGTTAAGGATTAGGTGTACAATTACGTTTCATTCAGACACCCTGTTGATAAGAGGTGTTTTCCCAGCCCCAGACAGATATTTGCTACTGTTAATCCCCTCCCCCTCCCCCCCATAGTTTCCCTTTATTCTTTACAATGGACCTGATACACCTTCACAGTGATTGATATGCTAAAGAGGGTGGAGCCCAGGTAACTGCCACTCTGAAGATTGACATCTCTGGGCTTCTGATGGAAGGAAAGAAGGGAAGGGGTTTTCTTTTGCAGGAGACCTGCCAGACATTGCCAATTCACAAGTTCCTGAGCTAAAAGGTGGTTTTATCATCATTTCCATGACTTTGGTCAGTTAAGGGGTGATATTCCTTCAATAGGGAACCTGAAAATTTCTTACTTATTATTATGGTAAATCATGAATTGAAAGTTTGGGCTGTTCTATTCTTACATCTGATGGGATTTTCTTTTGATTTGCCCAGGGGATGGGGTAGGCTGTAGTTTGACCTGCAGTAAAATGTAATTTTTAAAATGTCCGAATGCTTCCTGAAACCTATCTATGGGAAATTTATCAATCTATGTCTAACCTCGTTTCCCTCTGTAACTGGCATGGTAAACTTAGCATTACTGGCAGCATGTGCTACCTGACTGAGCAGACTGGTTCAACTATGCACATAGCGGATCTGTGTTAAGTCCTAAAGATAGAAAGAAGTGTCAAGAACTGTGTATTTACCCTAAGTTGCAAATTAACAAGGTAGCCTAGCAGAGAATACAAGATATCCTGGGTCAGACACAAAAAGCACTGTTACACACATCATACATTTGGAAAAAACTCAAGAGTAGGCTGGGCTTGGTGGCTCAGCCTGTAATCCCGTGCTTTGGGAGGCTGAGGTGAGTGGATTGCCTGAGCCCGCGGGTTCAAGACCCGCCTGGGCAACTTGGCGAGACCTCATCTCTACAATAAATCAAAAAATCAGCCGGGCATGGTAATGCGTGTCTGTAATTCCGGCTACTTGGAAGGCTGAGGTGGAAGGATCGCCGGAGCCCAGCAGGTCGAGGCTGTGGTGGCTGGGAGCAGCCACTGCACTCCAGTCTGGGTGATGGAGTGAGACTCCAACTCAAAAAAAAAAAAACAACAAAAACTCAAGAGTTATTTTTCCTCTGCTCTCACACTACAACAGTTATTAACACAGAAGACTACTTTGACCAAAGGGCAGGGGGTGGAAAGGGGTTTCTCCCCACTACCAAGGCAGCAATCCATTCTGCCACAGACACCAACTGAGTGTCCTCCAGTTCAATTCCAACATCATTTACCTGGAAATAGTGTCAGATCCCACAGATTGAATGCTCCATCCCCAAGACTGCCCTCCACCTGCAGATAGTCACAAGTCTGGACCAACTGGCTTCAAGTTGGGGTTCCCACAGCCCCCTCCTTGGGTTTGATTAATGAGTTGCAGTGGTTCACAGAACTAAAGGGAACACATAAGTTTACTAGTTTGTTATAAAGGACATTACAAAGGATACAGAGGAAGAGCTGTGTAGGGCAAGGTATGGGGGAAGGGGCAAGAAGTTTTCATGCCCTCCCTTGGTGTACTACCTTCCTGGAACCTCTATGTTCAGATATCAGGAAGCTTTCCAAACCTCCTTCTCTTTATGGAGCCTTCATTATGTGGGCATGATTGATTAAACCATTAGTCATTGGTGATCAATTTGACCTTCAGCTCCTCTCTCCTGAAGGTTGGAGGGTGGGGCTGAAAGTTCCAACCCTGTAATCTTGTCTGTGTTTAATCATGCC